TGTCACGGAAAAATCATATTTTTGCCATGAGTGAATGTAGAGCCGTAACTTACATATGTGATAATTTTACAACTGTCGGCACATAAGTAAAGTCTTAAGCAGGCGAGTTGCTGGTAGCAAGCGTTGGCTCATAATTAGCGTGCGTATTATGTGGTATTAACGTGTTTAATAATCGCGCTAATACCCCGTGCGTCGCGTTGAGTAATTAAAACCGACGCTGCACGTGACGGTAACTATTAATTTTATTTATGACAAATGAGCGCGTCTCTGGCAAATTTATTTGTCCACTGATTTGTTAAAGCTTTACTCGGCACATAATGGATTTTTCCCTCTTTGTATTTGAATTTTACAATCGTAACACGTACTAGAAATAAAGGTAATAAATATCCACTTTTTAAAAATAGTAGATTTATAATTCCACATTCAAATAAAACGTATAAGCCGCGCTGTAAAAACATACCAACATATGTGAATTGGAAACTCGAACAGCGATTATGGCGTTCTGCCAGAGAAAATCCTTGGCGTGCGATAAATTTGCTCAGTCCTTAACGCTCAGTGCGCTCATGACATTGCACTTTTGTAGCACAGGTTTATTCTCGTGGCTATCGTAAAACGAGACCCTTGACCTGTCACCGCTTTCAGGATACGCGTGTGATGTGCATACTCTACCTAAGAGCCGCGGAGTGGATATCAATTTGCATAGTGTCTGGTGTTGAAGGCATACGCGACATATCGATCGATATTTCGTACAATATGCAATACTCTTTGCGTTGCCTTAAAGGACATCAATAATCGATCGGCAAATATCGAAACGGCTCAGCACACCGTGATTTCGTCGGTTTCGGTCTCGCCGTCACGATAATTAATATTTTCAAAGTGGATTGCGCTCCTGCGCGCTTTATTTTATTCCATTCATCGTGCGTTACAATGCGACGCACGCTCATGATTATTTCCCGACTCGATCGTACGTAACGGGAGTGCCATTCTGTACCGACAAGGAAGGCTAAAGGGAATCAGCACAAAGGACGACCTACTAACGTCATTGTTGTCGCCACGATTATTATCGCACGCGTATCCTATGATATTACACTGCGAATTTAAACGAGAAATCTCGAGAATCCGGGGAAGAACACATTGCGAAAGAGTATCGGACGAAATCGATAAAAACAAATAGTTGATATAATTTGAAAATTTGAAGATGGGGCTCTCTCTTGTGTCGCATTATGTAGGTAATAAATTGAATCGATTAAATCAGATAAGAATCAGATAAAAGTATGATGTAACTGATATAAACGGAGTTTAATATATGTTGTATAGGGGAGAGAGTATCACAGAACCCTATTATGCGTTTAATATCCTGAAATTTGATGTCTATAAATCTTTATCTTTTATTATTATTATTCTACTTATTTCTTCCTCGAAAAGGGCTAATAAATTTATTATACTTTGCCCTCATTTCACGATGTTTGCTTCGTTATTATAAAACGAAAATACTGCGTAGAAGGCGGCAGTCATAACAATTATTATTAGTTCCTTCACTTTGGTTATTTCGGGAATACTTCCCCAATACCTTCGGCGTTTACTCCGGAAAGATTATAAATCATGTACGAAATCACGATGAAATTTAGATTTCACACTAGTAGCAGTCGTTCCCGATAATCCGAATCTGGTTGCCTGACGCATTAAAAGCGATTAAAATGTCGTTTGAAGAATATTACGTTCCAATTTTATGATCGGATCGTTAAATCGTCACATCGTGAACATAACTGAATCGTGATGTTGGTATTCTAAATAAATTTTGTACATTTATATCTTTTGAAATAATATTATCGCAAAAATATGAAAGAGAATATATAAAACAGTAAAGTATCAAATTATTATTAATATCAAAAGTATAAAATTATTAAAATATAATATATAAATAATTTTTTTTTAATTATACTTATAACATTTCTTATATAAGCAGTTATTTTTACAAACACTAAGTTCCGAGGAAAAAATCTGTTATGTAAAGGTGCGCATTACGGTATGCAAACAAACGTGTTCTATTTTTAAATTATTACAGAGCTTTTAAAAAAGATATGAAAGAGACGATTGTTAAGAACGTAGGAAGAGCGTGATGAAAAAGGAAAGGTGGTTGTCGTCGTAGAAAACGAATCACAGGACGCGGAAATCGTCGACTGCGTTCATCCGTCAACCTCCATCACTTACACGACGTGCAATCGCGTGTATACTGTATCCGGAATTAGCCAATTTGTCACTCCGTCGTGTCAACGATAGTTCAGAAACACATCTATTGCCGCAACAGCGATACGCATTGTATGGCTTTACAGTACGTTAATTTTTATTGTTGCTCTTAGGAAAAATAGTTTTTGTAGGCAATAAACATTCGCCATCCTTATAGCCATTCGTTCTCGCTTTCTCATTCCCTCCCCTTTTATTCTCTTCATTAGTTTTTGCGTCGTGACTTTGGCGCGAAGACATTTCATCGCGTTGTTAAACGAGCTAAGGGGGAATCCCTTCAGGCGAGTCGGAGTTTATGGCTCGCTGCCGACAAGTTTAAGAAAGTTAACGTAGTGTTCCGCTCTTTGCGAGAGATCTCGCTGGCAAACATGTCGGCCAAAGCGTCGGATTATGAACTTCTCTGGGAAGTCCAGGTGTGACAAGACCGTGACGAAGACTAATACCGTGGCCTGATTTCCGTTATGTACTTTGTTTAGATTCAATCGTCCGTATTTGTAGAGTAAAGTTAATTAACGTAGCATACCTATACATAGCGTGAAAATAAAGTACAAAAATAACGGTGCGCAATATCCTTTCAATATTTAGAAAAAAGACGGAAATTGAATATACACTGGAAAGTGAAAAAAATGTCAGAAGATAAAAGAAAAATGTTAGAGCTTAATCAGCATAAAGTTGTGTTTTTAACTCAATCATATAATTTTTCCAATTAAATCTCAATTTAATTTCAGTTTGTCTATACTTTTCTTTTTTCATTTCCCAATGTATATATAGTTCATACAGTTTTTAAGTATACAATTGTAAAAAATCGCGAAGATTATATCTTTCGAGAAAAGAATAAAAATTCTATAAAATATCCAGCAAGTCGGTGACTCCCATCTTTCCCCGTTATATAGCATACTTAAACTTTAATTATCCATCCGATAATGTTTTATACAAAATTTATTTTATTATACAGAAGATGTTTGTGCGATTTCAAATGAAATTCACATTCGTACAATATTCAAAGCGTTAAGCAATTCTGAGATACAAGGCATTAGGTTTTATCAAATGATCCGGTGATTCCGGTGATTACGGTGTCCCATTAATTAACTATACGCGCTTATTTCCCAACGATGTCTATTCTTGGAAAGATAGATGAATATACACACATATACATACATATACACATAATTACACGGTAACTTAATACACGCTTTACACTGGTCTTACGCGCATGTAATTCATGTACACGTATAGTAAAGCTGGGCGACTAATCTGATTACTGTTTAAAGTCCGCGTGCATACGTGACGTCGATACGTCCCATGATTCGCGTTTCCTAAACAAATCTCGTATTCATTCATTATATTCCAAATCGTGGCTGATCTGGTTTAAATTTAAGTTATAAATTATTTAATGCATCAATAATTGCTTATATGTTCTTAAGTATTGATTCTCTGGGAATAATTGTTTTTTTAACAAAAATTTGATTTAACATCTTTTTCAAGCTTGTAACATTTGAGATTAATTACTTTGATATATAACTTCGCAAATTAAACTTCTTTAAATCGATTCCATTTCAACTAACAATAAGTTGACTAATAAAGAAAGTTTTACTATCTATGTATTTGTATCTTTGTGAAGTTTTTAACTGGTTAAAACTGGTTAGTTTTTATTTGCTTAAACGAGAATAAATTAATTATTTGCAATGTATTTCTAAAATTGATTAAAGATCTTACAGGAATTTGAATGCTACTAATGCTACTCAGTTTTTTATTGCAACATAATTGAAATAAAAAAATATAGAATACGATTTTCTTTGTACGTAATAAGAGTATATTATTTTGAAAATTTTTTTGCCACGTCTATGGAATTGTTGCAATCCTGATTGGGGTAAAATCTTAACGCATAGAGAACCGAAATACGAGAAGAACTGATCAAAGGATACGATAATTGAAGAGTAACACAAAGACGTACAGCAATCAGTACATTTCTCTTGTAATTTACGAGTTCTGTAGTCTCTAATGAAAACCATATGATTTAAAATAATAATTCATTGTAAAAGTATTTTCAAGCAGCCATTTTTTCATACATTTTAATTTATATTATATATACCTATATGAGAGGAACAGACCTACTGTCACGTGTGAACGCAACCTTATTTTTTATTGCAATCTATATTTTACATTGTGCAAACATTTCTTCGTACTGTGTATTTTTATTTAACTTTTATTATTAATTAAAGATTGATGTTCAGATAACAAATATTTTAATTGAAAATTGACAAGTTTTATATGGAAAGATTCGGAAATTTGAAAACATGAATGAGAAAATTGTTAAACAATAAAAATTTCTTTAGCAACAGTGGTGATGATAATATCAGTATAAAATCAATACAATTATATTTCTTTAATCAGGTTTTTCGAAAAAGAAAATTGTATTTTACCACTAAACAAAGAATTACGAAAAATATTTAACTGAGATTATCGACAATGTATAGTATAATTCGTTAATGCAATTACTTTTTAAAGCATTCAAATCGTTCAATCGTTAATTTCGATAACTCTGCAATTTGTTTAACGTTCTATTGTTGATTTAAAATATTATCGACAATTTTTATTTAAATTTATATTCCGAGTATTCTATGAATATGCGTGTATGCGACAAAAAATATGATAAATGTTATATTTCAAAACAAATAATAAATAAAATACGTTGCAATTTTTTATTGTAAATGCTAAATAATAAATAATGTAAGAAACTAAATAATGTAAGAATGTCATTTTGATATTAAGATTCTTCATTTCTATTCGATTTTCCATTTTGTAGGCAATATTAACATAAGTCTCAAGAGTAATCTTATTCAAAGAAATACGACTTATGGAATATATCATTCGTAATTCTAGCGATTTCTCTTGTGGTATTCTACTGTCCTGGGTACTTTTTTTGTTAGACAAGAAAAGATAAAAATAAAAGAATGGAATAGTATATTAAACAGAACAACAGGAAGAGGGAGTTAGATGAAATGTAAGTCCCGAAAGAGCAGAGTCATTTTTCCTGCGGTGAGAGGAACCTTTCAGGAATATGGTTAGGCCATGAAAAGCACTGAATCGAGAAGCCGTGTTGAAGACCTACTTGCGGTTCTGTAATTGTTCGAGAAGGTTCCTTTCTTCGCATACTGCTTTAGGTGTAAGAACTGACATTTATCTTTGGCACAGCGCCTTAATATAACGCTCTATTCTGCAATCTGGCTAAGATTTTCTAGTAATTTGCATTCTGTGTTAATAAATCGTAATAGTTTATACGCTAAATCTCTCTAATAAATTTCTAGTAAATATCTTGCCTTACAATTAAAATCTCATCGCCATTTAACACACACACATACACACACACACACACACACGCATGTCTTTCTATGTCGCTTCGAAATACGAATCACGAAACTTTCTTCAGAGAAGTATTCATAGATCAATAGCGACGCGGATGTTGATCTCGACTCTTTTTTCGCAGCCTCGACTTTCGGTGTTTACGGATTGAAGTAAGAAAGTCATTGATCGTGAGCTTTCAAGCTCTATCCAGTGATATATTGTTTATTACACAAAGAGTCCGTCTCCTCCATGGAGAAAAAAACATCTTGGCTAGACGACTGTCGCATTTAAAATTGAGCGCGTCTTTGGATTTTAAGAACTCTTCCTCATCATATTGATATTAAAGTTCGAACAATATCATAAACGCACATTGTGACGAAAACAGCCAAATGCAACTATTGTTGCATTAAAAGAAATTATTATTACATGAAAATATTTAAGATTCAGTTCCTTATCATTTTCTTCGTAGCGCAGATTCTAAAATACATCGCACCGACTCGTAAAAATTTCCGTATGCTAACATCGATGTCTTTCGAATTATTTGTTTGAATTGTCAAGTTCGCGTCAAAACAGATAGCACCAAGAATTTTGATGCGAAGCGCAGCTATTTCCGTTCGCGCATCTATCAACCGCGTTGACATTTGACACGATGCGTTCCATCGTTGTGCGATCCGGCGAAAAATCTCCGATCACCGTGATTGCATCGTGAAATCACTCGTCGATTACAGATTATCGACAGTCCAGTGCGTCCTTAGTGAATAACTTCCTACCGTCGCGTTTAATCCGGATTTTCGGTTTTATCGGTCACTATGACAGCGCAATAGGTACAGCTCACTCGGATATCGTTGCTGTATCACATGATCCAGGCAGAGGCCAGCCCCGGCCTATCGTTTTAGTTGAAAGCGCTCGTATTTCAGTATTTCGTGACGCTTCCGACGGAGGGTCTTTAAACCTGTGTCAATCGCGTTAACTGCGCACCGTTTTTAATTAGATCCTTATCCTTCTGCGCCGAGTCCTTGGGATCGCTGTTAACCGTGATGTTTGATCGTGACGTCATGGTCACTGTGGTGGTGGAGGTCTTGCTGATTAGCAGCCCCCTCTCCGCCTCCTCGTCCTCGAGCTCCAACCTGGACTGTCCGGACGTTATCATCCGGTTAGATTGAAGTCTGTCGGCGTTGCTTCCCTTGTTCCTTCGCGGAAACACGCTGTTCTCAATATGCAGCGCTGCGTTTACGTCCTTGCCGGCAGCGCAAGTGCACGCCTTCAGGAAGCTCTTCTTGAAGTTGTCGCTCAGGAAAGCGTACAGGATCGGATTCATCGCGCTGTTGCTGTAACTGAGAAAACCGGCCAGAAGGAAGCTGGTGATGCTGATGTTGGTCTGACACTGCTTCGGCGGGGTGTATATCAGCGCCACTTGCATAACCCAGTAGGGTAACCAGCAAAAAACGTACACTGTAATCACCGTTAGAACCAGCTTGGTTACCTTCCGGTGCGATCGCTTCTTCTCCTTCGATTTATTCTTCGGACCTACTGTTCGCAGCTTCTTAATCACCAAGAAATAGAAGATGAGTATGAGAGCCAGCGGAACGGCAAAGCCCAGAATGAGGGTGTAAAGAGTGAAGGTGGTCTGGCCGCCGCGATCGTTAGGCCAGTAAATGTTACAGCTGACAATACCCTCCGGAGATTCCATGGCGTTGGCATAGAGAAACACGGGGACCATGAAGAGTGCGCTGGTCGTCCAGGCGGTGAGCGAGACCACTTTCGAGATGAACGGCGTGCGCATCTTCGGCGACGAAATCGGATGACACACGGCGATGTAACGATCCGCGCTCATGATGAACAGAAAAATGCTGCTGGTGAACTGATTAATGCTCGTTGTCGTCATGTATGCCTTGCACATGACCTTGCCGAAAATCCAGCTGCGCAGGCTGATCGTCGTTACTAGAAACGGTATACCGATTAGGAAGCACTCGTCCGCGATCGCCAGATTCACGATGTACATATTCGTCACCGTCTGCATCTTCGAGAAGCGTAAGACGACGTAAATGACGAGGCTGTTACCGAGGAGTCCAACGATGCAGACGATAGCGTAGAGAATCTGATTAACCAGAGCGATAATCGGCAAGTCGGCCTCGCAGTTCACATCCGTCATATTGTGCGTTTGATTGCCGTAAGTCAGATTCTGGATGTAATCCATCATTATATCCATTGTTCTGTTGTAATCTTTGTCATCCATTATATCATCATGAATTCCAAGGTCGGAGTGTACAAATGTTACGGGAATAAGTTTCAAGAAAGGCGAAAGCCTTGACTGTATATACTATAATATCGAGTAACTTTTCCTTGTCGTCGGGTCTTTAGACAACTCCAGTTAATCACAGCGGGATTGTGTTCTCTATCGATACGTGATTACAAGTATCCTCTCAGCATCCTCGCGGGAAATAAGGTAGACGTAAAGTTTGTTTCGTCGACGAGGATAACATACGTGACACTGATGTCATTCTGCCAATCGTTCGCCGCGCACACGACCCAAGGGTTGTAACTTGAGCGAATACCAATTTTTAGGACGAACTTCTTTCTCCCACGCTCTATTAAACCGCCTGTCGACTTCGAGAGTGTAATCTGAAACACACAGAAAAAGAAAATTATTAAAAATATATTATACACCATGGGAAAAATTAATATTGAATTTTACAGAAGAAACAAGATATTTTTAATGTTGGGAAACAGAAAAATATTTTTAATTGCTCAATTTTTCGTAGGTCGTATCATTGTTTCTCTTTTATGTCTAGGTTACAGCGACACAATTTAATATCAATTAAATTTGAAACAATCTATCTACGTCAGAAATTGTAATCTCAATCTCACTGAGGAATATATTGTCACTTGCTGTTCTTGCGGTTCAACGCAATTCGCGTGCAATTGGAAACTAGCGAATGGAAACGTACTCGGGACATCTCGTTACTCTATGCGAAAGACAGAGAGTGCAATTACTATAGAAGTGATACAGCAGTGACGCTGGCGGCAACGTGATAATTTTCCATGTACCGGTTTCCGTGGAAATAATCTTGTCCGAAGCCCTCACACATTCCGACAATGGCTTGGGGAATTTTGTCAGCAGCTCGCGAGTAAAATAGCGAGTGAGTGCGAGTGAGCGAGAGAGTACCTTTGTGCCCAACTGTGTTGACCTGTGAAAGCCCTCGCTGCAGCTTGAAAGCTGCAGTTGGTGCAACGTTTCGTAAACCGCAGGTTTCTCGTCACACTATGCAAGTAGGATGCATAGTGTTGGTAAGCCGAACAAACGGTTCTCGGGAAACTTGGATCTTGGATAGAGAGAATACGAACCGTTTAAATATTTTGTAAAACAGTGCGGTAGAATTCTGTGCGGAACTGTTTATTTATAAAGCGGTTGAATACTTGCCGTGAGAAAATGTTGATATATGCTACAAGCATCACTTGTTGAATTAAGAGCTCGTTAGATTAATATTTTTTGACAAACTTTTAATTTCTTTAATAATTTTTTGCAAAAAGATATATTCGATATTTTTTCGTAAGGCATTGATCGTGTTATTCCCTTGCTATAAGCAACTGTCGAGATAAATCTATAAATTTATCTGACGTTAAGTTGCTGGACAATTTTTACGAATGTCAGTTTCTTGACAGTCTTATAGGAAGAGAAAAACACGACTTAAAATCGTCTTTAATGACTTGAAATAACCTTCGAGTAGGAGTTAAGTTTTCAACCGTACAAATAGCTGGTAAAGTCACGTAAATAGGACATTTTATCTTCAAAGTGGAACGTGGATAAAATCTAGATAGATGGATAGATATTCACGGAATAGCAATCGGAAGAACTCATGGCGCGAAAATAAATCTGAACTACTTTCCTCCAAGATCGGTATGATGCGTTTATGAGCTTACAAAACTTTTGAAAATCTCGGTTACTGTGGATTATCCGTATTGATTCGCATAAAATTGTTTGTTTCGATGAGATATATTGCACGTTATTTTGTTTCATTGTAGTTAAGACGTTGCAATCTAACAGCGCTAAGAATATGAAAAATGTGAAAGTACGATTGCGTAATATTTGTATGCGTACGCGTTCGTACACTTCACTTGTTAAAGATACAAAATATGTTTTTTACGTTTTTAATGCGAGATTACAAATATATAGGAGTTATTAAGGTATTCCGGCACAAAACGGAAACTCGTTGCATCAAGAGAATTGTTACGACCTCCTTTGCAATATAATGACTTTCGATCGATGCACCATTAACTGGCTAGTATATATATATCGGATAAAGTGCTTCTATGCTCTTTTTCGTATAAAGTGAGGTATGGTAGCAGTTTTGTTTCGGTAACATTTCCGTTTTGTTTCATTACATATGTAAAAATGTGAATTTCCAATATATGATATTTTTTTATCGTGCGTTACATACAATATTTCAATTGCGATCTTAGAATTATAATTTAATATCAAGATATTTTGATGATCATAAGATTGAAAAACTTATACGATAAACCTTAAACGTTGTGCAACGTTTTTCAGATATAGAAATGAATACGTTCGTGATTTCTGTGGAATATTACTTTTTGAGTGGAGTCAGCGCAAAGAAAATCAAACTTTTTACATAGTCGAATCAGTCATTTGCGTGTTTGCAAAGAGTATGAAACGCGTTTGCTTTTCAGATATTGCAATCGTGAGATTTGTTCTTTTACAATTTTTCCTACTTCGAGCGAAACTAAAAGTAGGATCCGATGTGAGAACAGAAAACGTTAATATATATAGTCAATACGTGAACGATGAATATTTCATGCATATGGCCGGCTTGCATTATTAAAGGATGCAGATCTCTCTGCGGAACTTCATTTATTGACTGGTGGTACAATGGAATCCGAGCGGGATAACTTTTTAATTTAAATCTCGAATTTCGATTAAAGTTTCCTTAATTGCGACATTCATCCTACTTTTTGTATAATAGAAAAAAGTTGCATATCTGCGATCAGGGACCGGTTTTGATTGTCTTTTTTTAGATGTCAGAAAGAATATTATTTGTTGGTTGATCATTTTTATCGCACGTAATTCTTCAGAAAATATATAATTAATTCTTACAAGTAAAATAATATTTTAAATTTTGATAAAAAAGTAATATCTTGAAATTACAAGAATTATAAGAATTTGAAATTATAATTATTTCTGTTAAATGTTCATTAAATATAAAATTAAAAATCGCTAATTATCTGTTGATCGCGAGACCGATTGACTGAGATCGATTGATGCGAGAAATGATATGTCTGATTAATGCACGACTATAATCACTGCACGGGAATCAACTGTTTCATATACGGCAAACCGCATTGATTTTTTTTTTCTACTTAGTCAATTATTTACCGCATAAAAGAATCATGGACGCGATACTATATGGATACATAAAAGCTGTAAATTGCTTTTAGCCGCCGTTCTCATGCCTGTGCCTATGCGAGCGTATTACGCTTGTTAAAACGATATCGCACGAGCGGCGATTGGAAAATATAAAACATAAAAAGAGCCTTTTGCTAACGCGTATTGACGTCGGACAAGTGCAGCTGTGGGAATTCAATTTAAATGTGCGAATGCGTCAGTTAAGTGTCGTGAATCGCAAATATTTATTCAATTTTACTCGTTGAGCTCGACAAATACATCGACCCTACCTTGCGGATAGTAGAAAGGGATGCATACGAGAGAAAATACGCGAAATGCAAGAAATAACACGTAGGCAGACGAGAAATAAGAGAGGTGAAACAGAGAAGTGCGCCGCGGGACGCAACGAGAGAAATTAATTACTTTCTTACGCGAGCATAGCGGGCACTAAAAGGAGGAACTCGATCAAGTGAATGCGCGCGCGAGATACCTCGTCGTCGGTTCTTAAATACACAGTCCTTGAGACGAACAAGTAGACAGACTACATCCGGCTGGACATAAATTTTCTTACTGTTATTAATCGTAAACGGGAATTGTTTTTTCGTTAGAGACGCACACCGCGATAAAGACTTAATTTAATACGTGGGAAGTAGCGACGGAAAGGAAGAACATTTATAAAAGTAAATATACATATGGAATATGAAGTTGATATAATTCCGCGCAATATAATTATAATAATGTGCTATTCAAATATTTACAATATAAATATTTTAGTGTCTGTTTGAGAATTTAACATGTTGTTGCTTAATGTATGATTTGCAATTAACGTTATCTTGATTATTTGCACGAATTAATATCGTTTGTTAACGCATGCTAACTAAATTCTTCAAATAACGTGTTTAAACGAAAGAGTGTATATCGATAAGTAATTAATATAAAATTTAATATGCAATTACTTAGTCCTGTTGCGTTGTGCGGAAATTATGAATTCGCAAGAATTCGACACAGAATGTAGTATTGGTAAATTAATCATATTGGCCATTCCAGTTCTCTTTGTTATGCCGAGCAATATCACTTCCACATTTGTATTTTAAACGAAAAGCCTGTGTTTAATGTGTAACTCAATTTGCACGACTACATTTATATGCGTTGGAAAGATATTCGTGTTGCAAAATTTTTGGAACTGTAACAAGTCTATTTTTTTTTCCAATAAATTTATTTTGTTTCGAACGCATGTTAATATTCTAACAACGGATACGTGCGTATCCAGGCTGTCTTGTGCAACTCATTCAAGACACGTCGCACAATGAAACATTGACAGCGCAAGCAATCAAGTTGTCGCGTTGCATTTATCAGGGTAAAATCCAGACGTAAACGGAATAAACCAGAACTAATGACTCTCCCTTACATACGATCGCATAAGCCCGCTTCGCGTAGTTAAGAGAAACAAATGACAGACACTTTAACTGATGCAATGCTATTGTGAAAACTAGGCGCATATAGCTGAACGAACGCTCGGAACGCATAATGAATGCGTCGCACATGTGAAGGATATAATGCTATTTTCATAATCTGGAATATATATTTCTTTTGTATCTTATATTATCGATAATTATGGTATTTTGGATAATAGTACAGAGTTATTTTAATAGAAATCTTTGATTTAATCCGATTAATTTGTTCTTAAATGGGGAGAATGCGATTAAGTTTTCCTACATGCTTTATACAACAATTTTTTTCAACTACATTTTACCCTGTACATTCGTTGTAGATGTGTTCCGTTTAGGATACTTTGTAAGGTATCAGGGAGCATACGCCTTTACCTTGTCACCATGTCTATGTTTATGCTACAGAGAAGGTATCGTAGAAGGTTAAAATTGTACACGTGTCAAAGCCGCTAGGAACCGCATACAAAGTAACCAAAATAAACTACATTGCATCTCCGTTTAGCTGCGTACAAAAATTTAAAAACAGCGTTTAAAAATTAAACTGTTTTAGCAAACACTCTTCGCTGATTTTCACATTGTTACGTACTTTTGCATTTTTATGCAAATACATGTTTATCTTGTTTTAGAATTTTTTATTTTTTATGTAAATTTGTTAGTGTTTTTTATATTAATTATAATAATTATACGAAATGTTTCAGACCAACCATATCTTTCGTTAATAGTGAATTTTTGAGACTTCTCATATATGGTAAGAATATAGAAATCAATATGCG